TACAGAAGTTAAATTGCTACAAAACCGGTGCAGTCTTTTTTATGTAAGCGCTAAAACGGTACGTCTTGAATGTTAGTGTGTATTATTCCGCTTCTTTACCCAGGAAGCCTACTGCGTTTCATGACCATTATCTCTGAGATTGATCTGATTGCTCTGGCTCAGGAACGTAGGGCAGTTATATTCTTTTTTTTTAAGGTGATGGGCCCAGGAATGCATTGCTGGGTGAACCGTGCCTTATTCCCACAAAACAAATCTACCCACAATGCAATGTGAAAGCAACATCTTATAATTTTACTTTTAATGTAAACATTTACTTCACTCATGCTTTTTGAGTATTGAAGGGTTTGTCTGTTAAACAGGTCATATTTGTGGACTATTCATATTCCAATTTAAAAAGGGTCATCTGAATTTTTTTTAATGTAATTCTTATTAGACCTCATGGTGTACTTGCAGTATTCAACTCTTGTCCACTATCTCTGTGGCCTCTCAATCTGCTAGGAAGAAGGGGCATTTCCTGAAAAGTCAGCTATATATATTTGTCCTTGAAGGCCATAGTTATTGACGAATGTGAGTTTTTCATAGATGGGATAGATTGTAGCCAATGGCTAAAGTTAAAGGACCTTATATTAAACCCTCTGCAGTATACACCGACTTTACAGACTGAGATAAAAAAAAATACTTAAATTGTTCACACAACCATGCCCCGACCTGAATACACACCAACCACATCATGAGGCTAACAACTGAAGGGCCTCATTCGTAAGCGCTGACAGAACCCGTTTCTGCGTATTTCCAGTCAAATCTTGAACATTATCTACATTTTGGCTGCCTTTCTTCTCACACGGGAATTACACCCCCCTCGTGGTCAGTTGCATTAAGTAACTAAAATTGTAATTTTATCTATCTGTAGTGAGTCCAACCGAGTCGCAGACGTTATTCTTAAGAGGCAACACATGTATTCGCAACACGTATATACAAAGGGGTAACTGCCCCTTTACCAGATACAGCCTAGGGTGGTGACCACCCAGCTAACTACACTATACGTAGGAGTTACAGCTACGATGGGTCGGACCCTCGGGTCCCCGACCATGTGTTGGTGCCTCTTCAGACGTAGGACCTAGAACGTAGAGCTTCCAGCTTGTAGAGCTAAGCGACCCTGGTCTCTCTCAGGGACCCACCTTATATCCTCCTGGGTCGGGGCCGGCTACGCCCTCGGCTCCGCCCGCCTTCTCGAGCGTTCTAGCTCCCTCTCGAGAGCTCTCCCCGGACACGTGATCACCCCCTAGCCCCCCACCTGGGGCCCTCCTCTGTGGACACTCCGGATCACGTGTCTACGGGGTCAACCAGAGTGCCATGGCCCGGGGCAACCCTGTCCCTGGCTGACACTCTCCCGCTCCCCCTTGTGGGAGCCCGCACTGCATGCCATGCGTGGTGCCCGCGCTAACCCAGTGCTCACCAAGCCCCGCTAGGGCTGGTACTACACCCACCTACGGGGTGTACGCGAAGACGGTGCATCGCACGCCGGGCTGTGCTAGAGCCGGCCTCACTCTGCAACACACCCGGTGCTGCCCGCGACGTAAGTGCATCGCACGCCGCGGCCCTCTCGGGCCGGCACCATCCAGTGACATCCCCTGATGTCACTACAGATCCACATCGAGGGTCAACACTCTTTGAAGAACGATGCGCAATATCAGATGAGACAGTGGCGCGTGAGCAACTTGCACAGCAAGGACGAGGCCATGAGAAGGAGAGCTTATTACAGTTCACCAACCCAACGAGGCAGACATTTGGGAGCCAATTAACACGCTCAATAATCTACCGATGTCGCCACCGCAAGCAATTACTGGGTTTCCATTAAGAAGTCGGAGAAATAACCAATTTGCATATAATTTGCGCGGCTTTTAGTCACATACGTTGAAGATATTCACATTTTTTTCCCAACGTGGAATTGTTTCTCGTTTATAGTCTATGGGTGTCGGTGTTCTATGATGTATGCAGTGTTTACAAAGCCGTTTCCTGATTAGAGCTACTGTTTGGTTGTAGTCTGTGACATGTTTTCTAGATCAATGCAATGTATTCAAACTACACTACCTGATTATATATGTCTGTGATCTACAAAATTCATCACATGTAGCAAAAAAAAAACTCAACACTCATCAATAACACTGCATTAAAAAGAGAAAGTAAATGAGTGACGTTTTGGGCAGTCACCCTTCCGCAGGGCACACAACAGAGGCCAGGGCCTATTTCACCTTTCTCTTCTGCATCCAAAATGCATTTCGTGCCTGAAAAACATTTTTTTAAAGTGGAAAGTTATTTTTTCCTGGTCGCTAGAATCATAGAAGTTCGGTACCACGCGTGCATTTTAATCCATCCTTTAGATTTTCTAAACAATCTTAATCGTGTAAACTGCATGTATAAATATTTTACAAATTGGTAGCTGGGGGGGAAATTCCACGGTGATTTGTTTGTGCTTTTTTAGCCAAGATGTGAATCCTTTCTCCGATTAAGGAGGATTAACATTTTTTGTTTAATTCTGTAATGATTGCTGTGTGTCTGTTCTCTCGCCTGCTTGAAGCCTGGCAAGATGTTAACTACCTGGCCTGGTATTCAGGAGGTCGTGGCTTCGATCCCGCCTCTGACGCCTGCTGCTGTATATTTGGAGTTTGCATGCCTCTCTCTCCCCGTGGACACGTGGATTTTTCTCCGGGTCCTCCCTTTTTTCCCCTCCACATTTAGAAACACGTGTTTATAGTATTTGGCTGCTAGGAATTTACACGTGATGAGCCACTTCGTTGAGCTATCATTTGTGGCCAGGTCGCTTCTGAAAAATAACTATATATCTCTGTGGGCCTTACCTGTGTATATAAAAGTAAAGTGTCAAGAGTGAGCAGCGGTGGCAACCCAAGATTAATTTCTACCCACGTGACTTTACCGAAAGAACCAAAGAGTATCGATTCCTACAGTCACGAAAGCTTCAAATCAAGATTGAATTTCCTCTCACGGTCAACATAGATGACGATTATCTGAACCGTTTGTGGCTGGGTCTCTCCTTGGTTGACTGAGCCTCAAATGGAGTATCCGATGTGTGGTGTGTAAACATCGCCACGAGGGAGACAAATGCTGCTAGAATATTTGCTACTTGTTCGTGGCACTTGCCCCAACAGTCCGTTGAAGGCTATACAGGGGATCTTTGACTATTTTTTGCCATTAGACGTGATTCATAGGATATGAGAAAACCAGGAAATTATCTGGCACAAAGCAGCACAATTGTATAACACGTAGGCTTTCGCGACTAATATCCATAATAATAACAAAAAACGTTTATTATGGAGCACAATTGTAATTCATCAGTGCAGTCTGTCTGTGAGACACGTTTAAGAGTGTGTGAGAGGTTTCGAGTAGATGCCCTTTTGGGGGCACTGGTGTTTCTCTGGGCCCTGCTAATGACCGCCACTTATTTTTTGTTTGTTTATATTACAATGCAAATAGAACAGTGTGGAGCGATTTTCAGGGTAGAGAATGTTAGTGGTGATGGGATGCAATTAGTGGTACCCTAATTATAACCACAACCCATGATTGCAAACATAACCACGTCCACGGTATCCAGCCGCCGAGCAAAGCTTGCAATCAGAAGGTTACGAATTCAAACGCATGGTTACCTGTCACTTATTTTCCTCCTCGAAATGCATGGCGCTCTGATATCAATTGCTCAAGGGCACCTTGTACATTTTAATTTATTGCCCCTCACTTTTCAGGAAGTCAACGGAGGTGTTATATGGGCGCCATGGTGGCGAGATGTTAATTGCCTCGCCTGGTATGCAGGAGGTCGTGGGTTCGATTCCGACCCTGACGCCTGCTGCTGCATATTTATGTGGATTTTTCTCCGGGGCCTCCTGGGTTTCCCCGGCACATTTAGAAACACGCGTTTGCAGTATTTGGCTGCTTTAAATTCCCACATGATAGGCCACTCCGTTGAGCTATCATTTGTGGCCTGGTCACTTCTGAAAACGAGCAATATAGCTCGGTGAGCCTTACCTGGTAAGATAAAAAAGATATAGTTTATGCGATGGTCATCAATGTACACCAGCCCCCCGAATTAGGAATGGGGATCACCACCACCACCACCCCTCTTGCCAGCAGCCACTCAGCCGGCGATAGACGTGGGGGACTTTAACAGCGCAACTCGCACAGTGAGACTAACTCAGAAGACTACGAAGCCGGAGAGAATCTCCAGGAACAGTCATCGGGCACGAGACGCGTTCCCTGTATCCGTAAGTGGCCAAGCGTGGTAATCGCACCTCCGATTAGCACGGTTGGCTACGTACGGTGCGAAAGAAGTTCAACGTGCTACATACACACAGCACCCTGCGCAACCGGGCACATTCCACTCAGCCCGATGGGGGGAAAAGCCAGCACTGTAACCCAGACGTTACGCTCTGTGTGTCAAAGGATAAGAGCGGAAAAGCACGAATTGTATCGCGAACAATGAGAGGCAATTTCCCAAAGAGACAGCACAGACCGATAGCAACGGACACATTGAATTACCGATGTGGGTCATGACCTCGCACCTCTGCCCTTCGGTATACACAGTTACACACATTCCATGGGTGTTTCCATGTAGCATTTGGAGGCTGCACAAATTCAACTCGTACTCAACAGTCGAGGTGTATGGTATCCTGTGCAGCAACACTGCTGCACGGCATCGTACTTATTGCGATGTCGCTAACAATCGTCTTATCGGCGTCACCCTCAACGAAAGTCATTCCGTGCAGGGCTGCACGCAAGCGACACGCGCTGGGCGAGTGTGCGAGTCGAGGGCGTTGCGGGTCGGTGACCCTGGAGCAGCAACATCGACATCTGCACGCATCTCGCGGCGGCGGCGGCGGGAGGAGGAGGTGGTGGTTGGTGGTGGTGGTGGTTGGTGGTGGTGGTTGGTGGAGGTGGAGTCACTCGGCACCCGGAGGACGCCGCCCTCCGCGTTCGCTCCCTCAGTGCGCGCGCGCCTCGGCAGCGAAGAGGACCACGGGCGCAGAGTAAAAACCCGCGCCGTGTGGGGGTGGTGAGACACGTGTAGGAGTGACAGACACGTCTAGAGTGATAGACACGTGTAGCAGTGACAGACACGTGTAGGAGTGACAGACACGTGTAGAGTGATAGACAAGTGTAGGGGTGGTAGAGACGTGGAGGAGTGATAGACACGTCTAGAGTGATAGACACGTGTAGAGTGATAGACACGTGTAGCAGTGACAGACACGTGTAGGAGTGATAGACAAGTGTAGCAGTGACAGACACGTGTAGAGTGACAGACACGTGTAGCAGTGACAGACACGTGTAGAATGATAGACACGTGTAGCAGTGACAGACACGTGTAGAGTGATAGACACGTGTAGCAGTGACAGACACGTGTAGGAGTGATAGACACGTGTAGAGTGATATACACGTGTAGGGGTGGTATAGACGCGGAGGAGTGTGCGTTGCTTGTCTCGAGTGGGCGTCTATCCGTCAGCGTTTCCATCCCGTGCTAAATGTGCCAACTGTGTCCTTGGCTCCAGTGAAGGAGGAGGAGGTGGTGGAGGGGGGTGTGGAAGCCCCCCCAGGTGTTGGGCATCTGCCAGTCATCTCGCTCGCTCAAACCCGCGACGTCTGCTCCGTGACGGCTTCAACGTCCACACGCGCCTCGCCGTGGTGATGCCATCGTGCTTGGTGGCTAACTGCGGCTGCTGCTGTCGTTGTTGTTGTTGTCGTTCGTTCCGTGCAGGTGCAGCCGAAGCCCTGCAATGTCTCTGGCTGTGACCGTCCTCTGCCTTCTGCTCGTCTTCGGCGGCCTTCACTACCTGCTGGGGCTGCGGCGCAGGTGAGAAGACGGGGAGGTGGTGGGTGCTTCTGAATGGACGATGATACTTTAATATTAATAATAGACAGTAATTATTAAATTACCCAGGGAAATCCGAAGACTCTTTCAGGAGGGTCCTTCATTTGGGAATATTTGTGGTCAACACCAATGTACATTGTGTGTGCGTGTTTGTTTGTTTTAATCTATGGGAGGAAATAAGAGAAGCCGGTAGTAACCCAGGCAGAACAGGGGGAGAACATTCCAAGGAGTTCTGATGTCAGAGCCTCCAGCGGCATGCAGACGTGGCCTCAGAATAGATTGTGGAGCGCGCTCGTGTAACAAACCATGAAGGCACTGCCCAGAACCCCAGAGGACATCCACAATGGCATTCCTCGGACAGAGCCGACCGAGGGATGGAGACGTCGTTGGCTCTAAAGAGCGCCACAGCAGATCTCGAATCCTTGGTGCAGCTAGCACCACGGCAGGATACCAAAACAAAAAGTCGCGGTGCTTCCCATGAATGGAATCGCGGAAGTTTGCGCGGACACAGTCGCTGTCTTCCGATGCCCTCCGCTGTTCGAGTGTCGGTCTGTGAAGATGAAAGCCATGCTGCCCCACGGTGTGATGTCAGGGCCAAGACGTAGCGCCTCCGATTTGGCACGGTTTGGCTACGTACGGCGCGGAAAAGAAGTTCAACATAGACACACACAAGTGTGTGTGTGTGTTCTGGGCAGTGACTGCAAGAAAGTGTGTGTGCAATAGGTGTGTTGAACTTCTTTCCGTGCCAAATCTGAGGCGCTACACGCCTTGGTGCAGCATGGCTTTCCTCTTCACAGACCGCACTCGAACGGCGGAGGGCATCGGAAGACAGCGACTGTGTCCGCGCAAACTTCTTTCGCCGCCGTGCGTAGCCAACTGGGCCAAACCGGAGGTGCAAGTGGCCAGCTTCCTCGGTCTTCTGAGCCATTGGAAGGATATCGGTGGCTCGTAAAGTCTCGACGATACAACGACGAGAGGGCGACCGGCACGGGGGTGGCGTTGGCATCGGGCTTCTCGCAGTTGCAAAACGTCACCCAGTTGCACAAACGTGCTCGATGGACATTGTTGTCGTATTAGCGGAACGAATAATTGCCGCTTTATGGTGAACGTAGCCGCTTGAGAGGATGTGTGCTTCTTTCTCCCTCGGGGAGCCCGTAGACTTTGATCCAAATGATGGGATGATAACTGCATTGGCAGTGGTGCACTAAGCACACGTAACAAACAGACGAAAAATCTCAGGTTTAACACGTCTAAACTAAACACAGGTAGAGTTTGATTTGGGCCTTATAGATTCTAGGCTGCTCATAGTTTGCAGAGTTTCCAGGCTTCTTTCAATAGCTTCATGAGACCCTGTGTAGATAACCGTGTTTTCTCGTGCAGTTCCCTCGCCTCTGCTGCTCGCTACATGACCGCTGTTCTGTCTTGCCGGCAGGTCTTCTGTAGTAGTCGCGGAGTTCTGTGGAACTCCTCCGGATTTCTGAAGCACTGTGGTGGGTCTACGCACAATGAGGCGTGCATCCCCAGGAATAGACTTTTGAGAAGTATCCATCTCAGAGGGTGTAATCCTAAACTTTGCAGCGGATGTCGGGGACAAGTCATAGCTGGTAAAGTAGGATGTAGAATAGTGGCAGAGCAAACCGAGCAAAAGACACGATTCGGGCCTCGTGCACAGATCGATTTACGCCGCAGAAACTCGATTGACTACATCATGGGAGTTATCTTGCCAGTATCAACATATAATAATAGGTGTTACCCTTTCTGGCAATAACACAGTTGTGTTAAGTTGTTAAAGCACCAAACATAATTTTTTTGCAATGAATCATATCGGCATTAACCACATATACTTGTGGTGAACATGCAAACAAAAACATGCTCTGGTAGTACATGATGCATTGACTTTGAAACTGATTGGTCCACACCAGAGACTAGGCTCTAAAGAAAGCTGTCTCTTTGTTAATCTCGAGTGAGTTTGTGAAATTGTACCTATTGGACGTCCTTAAATGTGCCTCATAAAAAGGAAAAACACATAGCCAAGCGACGTTTACCATTTCTATTGGAAATGGTAAAACATGATTCGATTTACCACGGGGTTTCCAGGAACACATTATGTCGTAAAAACTAAGGTCGCCTGTATATATATTTTAAAGTATATAATATGAAAATACCAATTTGTAGAGTTCGATTCATGAGGGGAATTGTCTGCAGAACAGATTAAACTTGCCTCGAGACATAGCCCGGGAGACAGCTTTCACGGGGATGTCTTTAAATATATATATTTTTATAAAACAATTGTATATAGCTTGATATATCCAAGTGATACATCTCGCTTCACTCTAGCAAAACCACGTGCAGGGAAAGCAACTGTTGGCTTCGTTCCAATGAGAAGATCCCCGTAGCTGATAAAATACGTTTAAAGTTAACGTCTTGAACGTCATGCATTTAAGACAGATGTCAAACATTGCAACAGTTTCCCAGTGTCGCAAGCCGACCCCATTGGATTGCCGATCGAATTTTCCCACCATTCAGCACTTTTCAAGTATCTGCCCCTGTGTTCGAGCTAGGGACACCAGGGAGAGATGATCTTAATCTGTTAAGTGGGGTTTTTTTAAAATCTGTAACTCAAGGGGGAGAGTCCCTATTCTGCATCGTCGTGGAGCTTTAGCATGGGGGAGAAATCACATCAACCCTCCATCGTGGACCCTGGGAGGGAGCGGTGACATAGCGCGGTTGGCATGGTCCCCGGTGCTCCGAATGAAATGTACCCATCTGTCCAGTACCCATCACCGTTATATACAGAGATAAAAACAACTCTTGTACAGGCGCTTGGTGGAATATTACGTCGCAGGATCGTGGATTGGCTACAATGAAAGATGGATAACGCCATTGTACACATCGTCTGCTCACGTCTTAAAACAACATTCGGTCAACGGACTCGGATTGTCGACAGCCTCGATCGATTCACTAATTGATTGCAGCTTTAGAAAATTGGCGAGGATTTCTGCAGAGCGACAGGACGTGGGGTGCAATGCGTGTGCCTGCAATGGCAATATTGGCAGAGCATGCTCTGGATTACCTTGGCACGCTCACAGTGCTTTGTTTAAGAATGACCAACAGTTGACCTTATGTGTCAGCCAGCCAGCGACATGCCATAATAAATCCAACGGGACCCGCGGTTGGAAGCTGCTCAGCGGAGCGCGCGTGTCACTTTCTTTGCTCTGGACTAAATCAAGGACGTTGCATATCTCCACGTGATGTAGTTGTTAACAGTGGATCATTCCCCCTGCTGCTGCTGCATTTGGCGCAACAGACACGCAGTCACCACAGCAGGGGGCTTTCTCTTCTCCACTCGCTTGTAAAGACGGCGAGGAGCCACGGCTCATTCGCCGCCGCGTTGCGTGACGAATGTTCGTGATCCCCGATTGGAATTCGACAGGGGGTAGGCCGAGTGAATAGGTAGCGGGATCTGTTTGCAGTCGGCTCCCGGGCCAAAGTGTGAAGCCGCACGATGCTACGCGCCCGCTGTCGTCAAGGATTTGCCCTCTTAGTTGCTTGTGCGGTGCAAATGGGTCGTGCACCAGGACTTGCAATCTCGAGAGCGCCGGTTCGAGGCGATCTCCCGGCGTGGCAGTTGAAACAATGGGGGCAAGGTTCTTAATCCCCTCAACCCGACCCCATTACCCGCCTCTGTCTGACCCAGCTGTGTACAGCCAATCAGCAGGTCGGGTGCGGTGGGGTAAAGTATGGCTACTTCCACCTCTTCTAAGACGTCTGATGAGCGTGGAAGAGTAGGCCAAACAAAAAAAACCTGATTCGAGGGGATGTATTGATATTTAACTTTTTTCGCACCGTACGTAGCCAAACGCGCTAATGGAGGTTGCGGATCTATGGAACTCGTGGACTGGAAGACGTGAGCAAGCCCTTGCAAGGGCTGCACGTATCCCTCCAGCTCTGCCACGTTACACACTTCACCCACTCGCGTTCGGGGCCCCACTACGTGGGAGGGGGGGCGGAGATTCTGTGTGCCCCTTGCCCCAATCCCCTCTGCACCGCACACGCCGTGTCCACTCCGTAATCCGCACAGCACTGGCGCTCATCCCCCCGGTGGGGGCTGGGGGGGGGGGCTAGGAGGGTTGGGGGGGGGGCTAGGAGGTGGGGGAGTATCCCACGTGTAATCTGTTGACGCAGCTTTCTTTCCGCTCTTTTGCTTCGGCTCGTGAGAAAAGTACAAATACTGCAGGGCTGGAGTAGTGCACCTTCCACGCCGCGGTTTACCCGCCAAGCCGCGTGGCGATTCTTTCCAGGAGGGTCCCTGCTCCACGAGCCGCCTGCTGCACTGCAGCCGGAAATTCCGGACCCTGCTGCTGCTACCACCGCAGCAGCAGCAGCATCGGCAGCAGCGATACGAGAAGCGGCAGCGTCAGAATCAAAGCAACATGCCCAGCAGCAGTCGCAGTATTATCGGTGGTAGTGTAGTGGTGTCATTTCACACGGACAACTTATTTTTCTCCTGTCACGTTATTGGTACAGAACTCCTCGTGTTCAACACCACGCGACTCCGTCGCAACTCTTCCTATTGTACTCCTCGTCTGCTCCGCTCCGCTCTGCTCGCTCTCTCTCCGCTAGCCTGCTATGTTGCACTCTGCTCGCTTCTCCACTGCTAGCCTCTTAATATACACTCTGCTAGTTTCTCTACTGCTAGCCTGATCACACTCACTCCTCCAACCTCGCCCGTGCCTCCAGCGGGGGATCAGCCAACACCGCTGAAGAGGACGAGGTGTGGGGAGCGGGTCCCGGACTTCTCTCCTAATTCTCTCTTGTCTTCACTCCAACCAACTCTCCGCACATCACCTTATAACCCCTCACTCATTAAGAGACCTCAAGTAGCCCTCGTTGAGCCGTTGCTCACGTGGCGTCTCCGCCACGCTTATCGCCTCCATCTCCCGCCTGCGAGTCGCCTACACCGTGTTTGCATTTGCAGGCAG